TTACATGGTAACATGGGCGTTTTCATAAAATCTTTCCTTTCTAAACGTACTTTCCAGGTCTAAATTGCCTCTTCCACATCATCATCCTTTCCTCAGTTTGAAGGCGTCTCACAAGGAAGTATACTTAGTACCACTTTATTCCTTCTTGCTGTAAATGACATGGTCTCAGTCCTACCAACAGGAGCCCGGGCATCACTATATGTTGATGACAACCATCTATGCAACTGGCACATCCATACCAGATCTCTGTCAATTCCTTCAGTCTGCAATAACATCAGTAACTTCTTGGGCCACTAACCATGGCTTTTGCTTCTCTACCTCCAAATCTTTCCCCATCCTTTTCTCTTGCTCATGTATGGTCCCCAAACCCCCACTCTTCTTATATAATGCTCCACTCCAATACCGTTCTTCTGTCAAATTCCTAGGCATTATATTTGACTCCAAATTGTCCTGGCGACACCATATCTTGTACATCAAAGAAAAAACTTAACGCCACCTCCGAATCTTACAAACTCTTTCCCACATTTCCTGGGGCTCAGATCACAAAATTCTCCTCCATCTCTATGTTACCATGATCCTCTCCACTCTAGATTATGGATGCCATATCTACTCCTCTGCCTCAATCTCCCTTCTTCCTCACCTTGATAAAATCCACCACAGCGGTCTCCGCTTAGCCCTAGGCGCCTTCCGCTCCTCTCCAGTTGAGAGCCTATATACTGAATCTAGCATGCCATCCTTCTCTCAAAGTCAAGCACTTCTCTCTCTTCGATGCTATCTCAATTTTACCAACTTTCCCTTATCAAACTAACTTTTCCACAATCCTTACTTCCTACCTTTACCTCTTCTCCACGTTTACCTACTCCTTTCCCCGTACGCATGGATACCCTCCTCTCCCATTCCCTCTTTCCTCACCTCCGACCTCTCCTACTTTCTGTCCATTCCATTCCTCCATGGATTATACCTAACCCCTGTATTTGCTCCTCAGTTTTCCCTGACCCACCAAAATCAGATATTCCCCCTTCTATCATTCTCACTCATTTCCTTGACCATGTCTCCATTCATTCCTCAAGCATTCATGTTTACACTGACGGTTCCAAATCCATCTCAGATTCGCAGTAATCTTCCCAAATCACACTTTCAAATACACTCTCCCTCCTGAATCTAGTGTCCTTACTACAGAGCTGTATGCATTTCTTTTTGCCTTAAGATGCATATACTCATCCCCCTCATCCTCTTTCACTATTTTTACTGACTCCCATAACTCTTTAACCCTCATAAAGTCTATGCACTCGACCAATCCCCTTGTCTGTAAGATCCAGAACTGGTTGTTTTATCTATCCACACATCACAAATCTGTCAGATTTTGCTGGGTACCCAGACATGTTGGAATCCCTGGCAATGAACAGGCAGATACTCTTGCACGCTATGCCGCAATGTCCACATCACCTGAACTACACTTCTCACATATTCCAGCTACGGGTTATTACCCCCACTTTAAAACCTTCTTGTATACCCGATGGCAATCTTTCTGGTCAAGCCTCCACAATAATAAATTACATACTGTAAAACCATCAATCTCCTCTTGGTCAGCACCATTTCACAGGAACAAACGTTGGGAGACGGCCCTCGCACGCTTATGTATTGGCCACACTCGCCTAACACACGCCTATCTAATGTCATGCTCTGACCTGCCCCTATGTGCTCTATGTAATGTCCCTATTTCAGTTCCACACATTCTGTTGTCCTGTCCACGCTTTAATACACCACGTACCTCTGCTTTTCCAAACTTATCCTCCATTCACCGACCTCCCAACATATCAGACATCCTTACAGAATCCCACAGCTTCTGCCTTGACAACCTGTTCTTCTTCCTCAGACGCATAAATATCCTTCACTTGATCCAATTCCCTTACCTAAACCACCATAGCCCTTTCACTCATTAACCTCTTACCCATCTTCAACCTTTCAATATTACTCTAGATAGTTGACACATAGCAACTATCACCTGACATCCCCCTTTACTATGCCTTCCTATAGTGCTATATGACCTTAGATGTCTAGCACATTTATTTCACTTTTAGCCATTAACCATTACATTTATTATTCATTTAGCAATTAATGAACTGTAATCATGTTGACAAATGTAGAAAAGGTATGAATGAGATTGAATATCTTGACAATACAAGGGATGTATTTGACCTGTTTTGAATATATCTTCGTCAGAAATACATGTACTTCTCATAAGGATATATTCAAAATCGGTCAAATACATTCATTCTCATGCATACCTTTTCTACATTATCAATTCATCGTAATGTATCATTACCTTTTTAAAAACATCAAATGTTACTTTTAGTGTAGATAATGCTAATAATTCTCTGAGCATAAGTCATGATACAAGTATTATTTTGAACTTCTTAAACAGGAACTAACTTTAGAAAATCTTGTCTTACAGTACCTTACATTGGAATTCAATCCCACAGTCTACATGTGTGTGTGT